GCAAGAGGTCTATTTGCAGACATGCCATAGAACCAGGCAAGTGCCTAATGTCATCCAGTTCCTCAATTTCTAACACAAGCCAGTAGCTTGAGGATTTTCCAAATCAACCCACTTTAGAATCAAGTATTTTTCTGGACAGGCTTCAAAGATTTGTTGGGTTTTAGGGTTTCTCCAAAAGTTTAATGTACAATCTGGAGAACTTGGGCAGCCTGGTCAATCTAAATCCCTAAGAACCCTTCTGACAAAGGAAGTACAACTCCAGAGACTCTGAGATGAACCCAATGGTAGTCTTCCAGAAAAGGTGGCATACACCATAGCTGGGCATGGATTCCCAGCGTATCAATGGGAATATTGTCACAGCATCAATACTTACTATTTCTATCTCAAATCTGTCTTGTAGGGTGTTTTTGTAACCTTACAAAAACTTAAAATTTTTTAAAATATGCAATTACCTTTTTCCTAAAGTTGTATAGCAAGGAATAGCATACCTGTATTGTTTTAACACCTTTAGGAAAGCTTTTAAACTATTGGCAATTGGCAAGAAGTATGGGCTCTCCTAGTTGGGTTATTAATCAAGATCTAATCTTTAAAAACAATTTAAGGGAGCATTTGATATCTTGATTCATGGCAATTGCCAGTTTTGGCTCAAATAAACTCATAAAAATTCTCTAAAAAATAATAAACTTAATATTTAATATCTCTTAAATGTATGATCTAACCAAGCAAAAATATGTGATCCCACTGAACAAGCATTCATTTTTGAGGTACCTAAAACCCATGACAATTTAAGTGCTCAAAACTACAGATGGTGAGTGCAATGACATCGGATACATATTTTCCTTCCTCCTTTCCAACAGCTCTTAATTTTTGGCGGGGGACCCACATGATTCCGAAGTAGCTGACTCCACTTCTCTGGTTCCAGTGAAATGGGCATGTAACCTAAGCCATTTCAGTTAGAATGAATCTCAGNTACTAGGAATGGGCATGTAACCTAAGCCATTTCAGTTAGAATGAATCTCAGGACTAGTCTGGGTTGGGACACAGATGTTTTCTCTTCCCTGCTAGATATGAACAAGGATCCAGGTGACTCCAGGAGCTGTTTGCAGTTACTTTTGGTTCCTGGAGTGTTATTCAATCATCTGTTTATTCATCAAACATCTACTGTGTTCCAGATACCGAAATATAAAATTGAGTAAGACATGATCACTGATGTGAAGATATTTATATTCTAATGGAGGAAACAGACAGGGAAGTGTAATGGAAAAGGAAGCAACTAGGTCAACATTCCCAAGAGACAAATTCTTGGTATGGATCATATTGGCTGCTTTTGGAAGTGGAAGTGGCTGTATCTGGGTATTCTTTTTCTGGAGTTGATATCATTATTAGTCTGCGCTGAACCATCCAACTAACTGTGGTTTCAGTGAAATTTCTTGCAGTAACCCAATTGCAAAAGGGAAGGTCTCGCCAATCCTCAATCACTGGCTACTGTCTTAATCCAAGGTATAACCTTAACTTGTAAACAGTGTTCTGGCTACATATAAATATTTGGACAGTAATGTCAATTATAGCATCCTCATTGTTAAAGAGGCAGATAAAACAAAGTATATTGAATATGCATTAAATATCATCTAGGGACAAGAGGCAATAGAACTTTGTGCCCTTAAAAATGCCTTTTATGGAATATATCCCTCATGAAAGATTCGGGTACATACACCCTACCATTACCACAGTAACACTATCTGGTCCATCTGAATGATTACACAGGCAATAAATAGGTGGGCCCAGTGGGAGGAATATCTTCCTAGGGCATTTTATTAGAATCTTCCGGGCAGTTTTCCCCAACTAAACACAACTACACCTCACCTTGGGATTTCCATCTGGGCCCCTCCCTGAAAAGCACTGAAACAGTACATTATTCTTACTGAAAGTGTTCTCTCTCACCTATGTTAGGGTGGGAAAAGCATTGAGGCCTAGTCACGTGAGTTGCAGTATGGAGAGAGAGCTCTAAAACAATGCACTGGAGAGTAAAGAGCAAATTGTCCAGCTGATGGCTGACAACCAGAATCATAAAGTCATGTATATATGCCATGTATGTGTAGGAGCTTTGATCACTGCACTTTCTAACACTGGCCAAAGATAGAAGTACAGAAGTCATCATTATTGATTACAAATCTGAATTCTGACATAAAATTTAGGGATCAAGTGTTGTGAAGAGTTCATTCATACCATTGGCTTCTTGTTGCCAAGGAAATGTAGACTTTTTGCCTGGATCACATATAAAAATCACCTCAGGGGTAAAATATTAGCTTACTGCACAAAATATCCTGATCTAGACAGGTGACTATGGACCTGTGACTATCTAGCAAGAGTAGTATTATTAGTTGCCTAAAGTATTTCACCCTAAGCTTTATAAATGTGGGAAAAGGAGAGAGATAGGGTAGAAGGTTACAGGGCAATTGAGGTTAATAGCAAAAAAGAGCAAGAATTGTTAACAAGCCTTCACAAAATTTTCTCCTGATTGTAAGCATTTCTACATTACACCCAAAGAATGCAAGGCAATGGCAAATTACATGAAAGAATGGCTTTTAAACAGTATTTTGTCAATCTCAAATGTGTTGAAAATAATTCTCTGTCTATTTTATCGAAGAAATTGACTTAGGCTTCAGTTCAGCCTTTTACTAAATTATAAATTAGCTTCTTAGGGCATCAAGTTTTGTGATAAGGAGGACTCAGCATAGGCTCTCCCACAACAGACATCAGACATTTCAGAAAAGAGTAACGACGTGACCCTTATTTTTTTACATACTCCTATCATGTAGCTGTAGTAGGACTTAATTTAAAAACATTAAGGATAGCCCTGGCAGGGTTGCTCCGTGGTTAGAGCGTCCGCCGGTGGCCTGAGGGGTCCCGGTTAGATTCAGGCCAAGGGCTCGTACCTCGGGTGTGGCTCGGTAGGCTGGGCGCCCTCCCCTGCACCAAAAGGTTGCAGGTTAGGTCAGGGCACGTGGCGGGGTTGTGGGCTCCATCCCCCGTGGGGGGCGTGCAGGAGGCAGCAGATTGATGTTCAGCGATGTTTCACTCCCTTTTTCTCTTTCTCTCTAAAAATCAATTTTTAAAAATCTTTAAAAAAAAGCAAAAAAACAAACTACCCTATTTGCCCTCCCCCGTCCCCCAAAAGCCTCATTTTCTAATCCGCTTCAAAAAATAAATAATGGATGGTG